GAATCTGGATTATGTACGAGGTACTGTTGATTAAATTTTTCGATTAACACAGCGTTGTAGACTGAATTTGTATAAGTCCAGAATTAATGTAAGCCGAATACATAGCATTACCTGACGAACAGTCTAAATGAGATCTAAGATCGCAGGAAATTTATGGTTCAAACTCACCGTAAACTTCTAGCATTCGTATCCTCTGTTTGGCCATGGAACTCAGCAATTGGAAATTAGGCAGGCAGTGGTAAAAAAAGGCAAAACATTCTAGTGGATAGTGGTTAAGCAGAAAGATGAATTTATAGTCGATAGTTAATCTTGTCTTATTTATACCAGTGAATAAGTTACAAACAGATGTGCGTTCGTGTTGCCTTGTGGCTATAATCACGAGTGGTTGATATTTTAACAGACATATTACACAGGAGCATTTACATGCTGCTAATGCTTGTTAAAGAACCACGATAGCCGATTATAATCGTAGTTGATTGGTTAGTTCTGTCGATTGAACTAAGTATTTAAGTTTAAATACTAATCAACATTGACATGAAGCAACGAAAGTTCACAGTGATAGATTAACGTAGGCGATGATACAAATGAAAAAGAATAAGTATAGAATACAATAATAAAGATTATAGTGATAGGTGGCGTTACTCGAAGTCTTGCTCACCAGTGTAGATCACCAACGTAGATGATCTATGTCGAAATGATTGGAGGCCTACTCCAGTTAGACGTGAATGGTGTGACGAACCAACTAACGTCGAAGTCACACCTCGTGGTCAGCACCTTACGTGGACTACCCCCATTGACGTAACAAGGTACTATAGATGCTTTGAAGACTGTACAACACAAAGGACGTTATTACAGAAGTATATTAGTTAAGGTAGATACAGGCGAAAGTAAGACCACTGCCGCATGGGTCAGTCCATGGCGTATGATTAACTAATGCGCGTTGTTTGTACATGACCTTGGCAGGGAGCGATGATCTGTTCGACATTCAGTGATCCAAACTGCCGGATGATTTGGCTAGGGCTCAGTGACATTTCACTGGCCCTACAATATCTTAATTTTTACTCAGTAATTTAAATTAAGTGGGAATACAATCACTGTAAAAAACACACTTCAAATATAGTTCACATGAATCTGTACAGGGTGTTTAATTGTCACACTTAACTAAAGTTCGCACTTGTCATTTCAAACAAATTTTATATTCGATACGAAGAGGACAGAATACACGAAATAGATGTAACCATCTAATTCTACGTGGTGTGTTATTTTGCTTTATTTAGATGTATAAATATTGAAAAATTGTATGAAAATATTCTCAAGAACCATTATTGCTTCCAGCAGAATTTTTTCCATAAGAGTCACAGTTCCTCGCCAAATATTTTATGAAATTCTGTGGTTATTGGTAACATGCAAGGTTCAAATTGGTGCTTCATGGTTTCTCATTTGTTTCTTTTCCAAGGAGCAGAAATAAGCTAAATGGTCGGTGCTTATTATTGATTTATCAATATGATCATGGAGCTGAACTATGCAATCAGCAATCACAAAGTACTGTGCATAATATAAGTTTGTAGGAAGCATTCTAGCATGCTTCCTAGGCTGAAACCTACAAATATACGCTTTGTATCGTCATGTATTGTCAAGCCCAAATGGATTATTCTAGCTTCTGGATAGACCAATTCGTTCATTCTTTCCAAGCTGCATTTTTACCTCGTTGATTATTCGCTTATTAATCCTGACTGCTTTTATATGGTCGTGTGTGTGTTGATTGCTCACCCTCTTCATTACGTTTCTGTAACTTATTTTTGTCTGACTATAAATATTGAGTCACGCTTGATGGAAAACTAAATGGCTCACTCGCCTCCTCCACATTGGTTTCTCGCTCTTCATTCTGAATGAACAAATTGGTCTATCCAGAAGCTAGAATAATCCATGGAGGATGTTCTTCTCTTTGAAAACCAATAAAATATTCAGAACTATCCGGACATGTAGTTGTTACTATTGTTTCACTTTATGAATACTCAATTGTTGATACTTTATTTCAGTCAGATATAATTTATTTATTCCCTATTATTCCTTATTTTTACGAACTATGTAAGATACTAAGGATATTCGTGTACATTATTCTCATAATTCTACTGAATCAATCCTATTATTAACTACCACATGACTTGTAACTGAACATGATTATTTTTCTCCAGCCTGAAGTTTCTTTCAAAAAGTGACTTTTAAAAACTGGTCTCAAAGAGTTCTCGTGGTGTTTGAATAAACTTGTAGTGACTCACTTGTATCACGAGAACACGACTGGTTTAATAAAAACAATTATAATTTAAAGCAATTAGTCCCTTTTATAAATTTCGATAAAACAATGAGAAGACGGAGTTGATCTGAAAAATGTGATGTATTTGCGCTATACATTTCGAACAATCTGGTCACACATATACTTGTCAAGGCATTTTTATATGAAAATTAATAAAGGTCAAACAAACAAATAAAAGTACAATTAAAATAACTAAGGGGGGAGAAAGAATAAGAAATTGTCGCGTTATCCTAGGCCATAGAATGACTTAAGGATTACCAAGGTAAATTCAAGGTTACGACAAATTGTTTTTGTACACATAAGGGGGGTTTAAATTTACGAATAGCTAAGGCTTCAATAAACTTAAGAATTCGACCTTGACAATTTCTATACAACATTCTAAAGGCTGTATTAATGTTAATTTTGTGCCCCGTCTCAATTATGTGTTTTGCTATCGATGAACTTGGTTTTCTACCGCTTACATTGATCGGATCATTTGACATACACTGATTTTGAAGCCATCTGGGCACATGTTCATTGACCCTTGATTGCATTGTTCGATTACTCCTCCCTATGTATGTGTGTCCACACAAACATGTAAATTGGTAAATACAATGGGATGTGACGTAATCATTAGTGCATTGTTTGGGTCTATTAGGAATCATGGCCTTAGACTTTTCAATCACTACCAACTGAGCAGCATAATACGTATTCTCAATGGCTGTTTTCAATCTCTGCCTTAAAACTATACTGTTTGATTCGCCTCTATATGGTAGATTGATGTAAACCTTTTTCTTTGGCACTGAATAAATTAAAGGTCTTGGCATTAACTGACTTTTGCACCTATTAATAAACTTGAGTGGATAACCATTTGCTATTAACGTGTCAGTCAGTAACTTTTCGTCTTTTTCTGCCATATCAGAGGTACATATTCTTCGAGTCCTCTTAAAGAGGCACTTAACTAAACCTCTCTTGTATTGCAATGGACAGAAACTATGGAAATTTAGGTATTGTCCCGTCCAAGTTGGTTTCCTATACACGGACCGTCTAATAGTGCCATCATCCCTTCGACTTAAAAGTATGTCTAGAAAGGCTAATTGGCCATTACTTTCTGGTTCATGTGTCATCACAATATCATTTTGAACACCATTGAGTTTATCCAGTAATCGGTAAACATCAAAATCCTTATCACATATAATTAGAATATCGTCCATATATCTTCTATATAGAGTTGTCTCACCAATGAGGTCGCTCGTCATATTTTCCACATATGACATGAATACCTCAGCTAAGAGAGGCCCTAAAGGGCTACCCATAGCTACACCATCAACTTGTCGAAAATATTCACCATCAAACGTAAATTGAACATTAGCTGTACATAATAAAAGTAATTCTTTCAAAAATGGTAACGGAATAGGAAAAAGGGGAAAGTTTTTTGAAATATAGTCACAAAGGAAATCCACCGTCTTTGTTAACGGTACATTCGTGAAGAGGGAGTTTACATCAAATGAATGCAAAGATTTATCTTTAATATTAATGTCACCAAGAAAATCGATTAGTTCAAATGTATCTTTTAAAGAAAACTTACATATATTAGTACGGATTGGGTTTAACAGTTTTACTAACCATTTAGCTAGCTCGTGTGTGGGAGAACCACGCATAGACAAAATTGGTCGTAATGGAATATTAGGTTTATGAATTTTAGGTAATTCATATAAATTCGGGAGAACTGAACCCGAAGGTTTCAGTATATTAAACTCCTCGTTGTTTATTATGTTCATTTTTAGAAGCTTTAATAGATTGGACTTCACTCTGGATTCCAATTTTCTAACATTAATATTAGAAGAAACGTCCTGTAAGAATTTACTTTGATCACCCAGTATAGATAACATTTTGTCTTTATATTCACATTTATTGATAACGACCACCCCAGAACCTTTGTCAGGTCTGAGGATCACAATATCTGACCTACATTGGAGGTTTTTTAACGCAGCGAAATGTTTAGGAGTCAAAATACTCTTTTGTCTGACTTGAGATCCGTGAAAGTGGTGGGCAACGTCAACCAATTTCACCTTTAACCAATTTTTCTTATCCAGGGTGGTTGGGACAAAAACAATTTGTCGTAACCTTGAATTTACCTTGGTAATCCTTAAGTCATTCTATGGCCTAGGATAACGCGACAATTTCTTATTCTTTCTCCCCCCTTAGTTATTTTAATTGTACTTTTATTTGTTTGTTTGACCTTTATTAATTTTCATATAAAAATGCCTTGACAAGTATATGTGTGACCAGATTGTTCGAAATGTATAGCGCAAATACATAACAATTATAATTATAAGCAACTTTACCAGTGACTGTTTTAATGTGCTTTTGTTTAACTGTGCTAAAAAGCATCCATTATTCTTACACTTTGATTGTGACCTGGCGCGAATTCGGTTACGTTCTGTAACCAAGCTTTTATCCTGGCACGATCTCGGTATCCTTTCGATACTACGAGATCGCCAGCGAATATATCTGGATTTGGTCCATTAACTGCCTTCTGATATTTCGCTTACCGGGGATTATGGGAGAAATAATAGAGTTAGGCCAAGGTATGTGTAAGTTCATCATGTGAGCTAGGCACCTTGTCCATGAGCAAAAGTTAAGAATAACGAAATAAGAGTCGAGGGTAGACTTAGTTGATGACTCATGTTACAAGGGGAATAGCATGCTTGAGTTAGCATGTAAGTTAGCAACCGTGGATCTGTGTGTTAACAAAGGTCGTCAATGTCTATACTTCCGTAAAAGTTATGATAGGCTATAGTAGCCTACATATTATCTGTCCCTGAAATGATGGCTCTTATTAAAATAAAATGTTCACTAAGCGATTTTCAATTTGTGAATCAGAGAAGTAAAATGAGTAAATATTTTATTGTGACACATCTTTAAGATGGTTACTGTTTTCATTAAGATTATTCGACACCGTCTCTTAGTGTGGTGTGTGTTACTGTCGTCGATAGATATAAATACTTTGTATCATCAATCGAAAGTGAAATGCATGGCGGCAGAATGTTAAGGTCGTAAGAAAGAAAATGAGAATAGAGAAGATTGCTGTAAAGAAAAGAAACAGAGAAGTTTGAGACAATTGATTGACATTTTGCAAATGAAATATTTATTGTATGGTTCTCAGATTTAATCAAGGCGTTCTGTAATTTGTGAGTTCAAATACATTCGATTGTCTTCATTTGTGTTCTCATTTACCATATTAGAGCTAAATTGAATGTGATGACAGCGTAGTCTTCAGTCCTCATTAAAAAGGATAGTAGGTTGGTGAACCTGTGTTAATCCTGACAGATTACCTCCCAGTGAAGGTCCAGGTTCTCTTTGAAAATATTCACTGATGGGGCTGATACTACTTGTTCGGGTAAGGCGTTCCAATCATTGACTACTCGATGAGAAAAACGAGACCCCACTTTAAGTTTATTAGATCGTGGTTTATGAACCTTCTTGCTATGACCTAGGAGATTACTAGTGCTGGAGGGAGCAAAAAGATAGAACCTACTAACACCCAAATCATAATTAAAGATACGAAATACCAGTATAAGGTCATCTCGCGTCCTACGATACGACAAAAGGAAAAGGTTTAGGCGTTTTAAACTCTCATTGTAAGGGAGTTTAGAAAGACCCTTCACTAGTTTCGTTCCCACACGCTGGACACGCTCAAGGGAGTTAGTATCCTTCACCAGACATGGGCTAGCTGCTTGGATACAGTACTCTAAATGTTGTCTAACATATATGGGATATAAAATTCGAAACATTTCCTCGTCAAAAGATTTGAACGCTCGACGAAGTGACTATAACGCACGAAAACCTTCGACAGCGGTTGCGTTACAATGCGTAGTTGTTTTTAAGTCATGACTTATTATCACTCCTAAGTCTTTATGTTCTTGAACTCATGGAAGAGATTCACCATCAATAGTATGATGTTAACTATTACCGTGTCCGATGTGCATTAGCGCACTCTTCCTAGAATTGATTTCTAAGCCCCGAGCTCGAGCCCATATAACTAAATCGTCTAAGTCAGCTTGAAAATCCAGATGATCAGCCGCACTTTTTATTGTCCTCCAGATCTTTACGTCATCCGCAAACAATAATGTCGAAGATCTAAGCAACAGCAGTAACACATTAACGCAGAGAAGGAAGAACAGAGGGCCTAAGATGGTGCCTTGAAGTACACCACTTTTGACCGGCTTCCAATCGGATAGCGTCCCATTGACCCCCACTCTCTGTCTGCAGTCACATAAGAAGTTACCTAACCACTCCTGTACAGTACATATTATTCCGAGGCTCGTGAGCTTCTGCATAAGACTTACGTGTGAAGCCTTGAAAAATACTTTGCCAAAGTCTATGAATATCACATCGACAGACAGACCTTTATCTAAGGCTACTGTCCAATCCTCTCTCGCAATAAGTAAGTTAGTCAAACATGAACGCTTGTTACGAAATCCATGTTGCTCAGAAGCTAACAGATTGTGTGAAAATATGTGGCTTAGCAACCTAACCCGAATCATCTTTTCAAGTTACTTAACGACAATGCTAGTTAGACTGACAGGCCGGTAGTTAGATACGATCTGTCGCTGACCGTCCTTAAATACAGGACTGACTATGGAGTCCTTCCAATCCCTAGGGAGTTGTGCGAGTGAAAGGAACATGTTGAAGTGTCGCGAGCGGTTTTGAAATAATGTCCGCAAGAGATGACAGCAACCGTGGATGTAACCCGTCAGGGCCCGGTATCTTACCAGGTTTGAGGTTAGTTATTAACGGAAGGACAGTTTCCTAGGTCACATGTACAGATTCAATGGTTGGTATCTCGGTGTGAATGGGACAAGTATTTGTTACGATGAACGTAGAGAAGACTTCGCTAAAATGGTTCGAAAAAGTCTCAGCTTTTGGTCGATCGGATTCAGCTAGTAAATCTGAATTTTCGTGTAACGAGGGAATACCACCACTACGTTTCATTCGCCGTTTAGCAAACGAAAACAATCGTTTCGGACAAGTACGGCTATCATATACCAACTGTCGTTCTTGAGTAGTACGGAATTAAGCTATGGTTTTCTTACAGATATTCCGGAATTTTCGGCACTCACGCTTAAATGACGCATGACCTGTCAACAAGAGTGAGTCCCAGAGGTGTTTCCTACGCTTTAACAGCTTTCAGGTTTACTTATTAATCCGTGAAGGGCAATGTGATAGCTTACGTGCTGACCATGGGATAAACGGCGAAGTTACGGACTCGAATGTACAAGTGCACACTGAACAACGGTTGATAAAAGGTCGCTATCGAAACCTCCACCTGGAACTGTAAGCTCTATCCAGTTGACATGCGATGCGTTGAAGTCCTCAATGATGAGACAACATTCTGCCATACTCCAAGAACAGATGTGTCTTAAGATAAAGTCGTAAGCAAGACAACACGGACTACGATATATCCCCCTTATGTCACTAACCCATTTCTGGATTTAATCTTACAACATGCTACCTCACATGTACCACTGACATGAGCCTCCGATATGATTTATTGTATACGAAAATGATCCCTAACGTATAACATTATGCCTCCCTCTTGCGAATTAAAACTCTCACTTCTAATACAGATATAGCCTGCAATGGTTGGAGAACATACTATATCTACGGTGAACCAAGTTTCCGTAACAACAATTATATCAGGACTTAATTCATCCCACATCAGATTTAGCTCGGACGTTTTATTTCTAAAACTACGGGCGTTCGTGTAGCACACGCTTAAGGTGTTTTGGTAATCATTCGTTCTACCCATACACGCCTCGGAAGCATTGACTTCCAAGACCTGAATACCCGGAAACCCTTAATGGTAAGGTTAGTCTCACAACTTAACTTGCGAGTTCTCAACTCCGTAAGAGCATTCTCCCACTTGACTCGATCCTCATGCAGCCAATCTGGTCGGATACGAATATTTGAATCAAGGGTTTTTGTGCGTTTTCCAATAATATATCTCTTTCTTCAGAATTCCCGAGAACCAGCTTCAAGATCCTTCTTGGTTGGGTCTCGACTCAAACCCATTTACCGAGTCGTATTACTTTCGTGATATATGCCCCTGGAACCTCTTCAGGTAATTCATATCTTATCACAGATTCCACTAACTGCAGATCATGTGCATGTCTCTTAGCAGCGTCATTGTCTTTCGACCCCTCTTGATTCCAAATAATAAAACTGGGAAGGGGTTTAGCTTCTTTTGAAATCGTGTTCACAGCTTTCAATCGTGACGCTAGGTCCTGTATATTAACTACTGGTATCTTACGATTAGTTTTTATTGTAACAGAGTCATGGGAGTCGAGTGAGTGATTCACAACAATGTTTGACGAGGCCTTACTTTTGGACTTCGGCTGAGTGGTCTGAGAGTCCACCAAGGACTTATCAAGTAAATGGTCATTAGTTTTAGTTGTCTTCCCTACTCTCCTGCGTTTCCGCGTCATCCATATTCCATCAGTCGTAGCATCTACCTTAGAACTACTCGGGACAGTAGTTGTTTTATCTGGATCACCGGTTGCTGCTGTAGCGACATGGCCACCAATATATAATGAGGGGTCACTCATTGATTGTTTCGGAGTAGAAGGTTTAATTTCGGGTTGCACAGTCAGATGCTGCTGTAGCAACCAAGTAAATACGCTTTACAAATAAATATTGTTAGGCATTTTAGTGCTTGAGTCACAAGCAAAACCAAAATTACCGTGGAAAATAGAACCGAAATAATGAATCCTATAGAAAGCTGCTCATTTGCAACTTAATGCTTTAAAAAGGACAGTGGTATTTTTCTTCTCTGAGTAAATTTCATTGTTTTGATCGTTTATTACGTATCAAGGCTACTGTTTTCACTTTAATTGAATTCATTTCAGTTAAAGTATTCGACTAGAGTACCGTTTTTACCGTTCTTTCAATTAGTTTTGTCGTTGGTACTCTTGAGTACCTCTTTTTCAATTGTATCTGTTAGTACTTTTGGTCCTAACAATCTACAGTTCTTCACCTTTTGGTCATTGATTATTTTTTTGTTTCTGAGCATCATCGCATCTCGTTCCTTTTTGAAAAAATCCTTTTAAATGACCGTACAGTGTAAAAAAAGCAGTTGCCAACGTCCGGGTTGTCGTTATCCCGTTGAAAGCGGCATGCAGTGCGACGAGTACAAAAGCTGGTACCACGAAGTTTGCACGAACTTAACGGCTGCGGCTTTCAAACGGTTCAGTAAGAAGGGTTGCGTATGGCTTTGTCAACAGTGCCGTTCGGATGCAAACAGCCTGTTAACCGAAGCCATCTCACTGGTTGATGCTTCAAAGAAGTGTTTTAGCAAGCGTAGTCGAGACACGTCACACAGCACTCGATCTGTCGACACACAAATCGACATGAAGCAAACTAAGCTTAGTTCGATAGTAGATGACTCACGCCGATCAAAGAGGGAAAAGCAGTCTCCAAATGGGCATGGCTTAAACAAAAGCTCAAGAAAAGTAGGTCCTTCTGTTCCCCGTCTCCCAGATGGGATCCCACAGGAAACGCCTAGAAGCCGCAATCGCATGGCTCGATCGGTTTCAAGCGGTAAGCATAACCTGACCTCTCAGGTCGTCGACAACCCTCAAGAATCGAACACTTGGTTTGACGCAACTGTTGTTGCTTCTCCCAGCACCGTTGACAAGTGGGTACAGGTTGTAACGAGAAA